AAAGAAGAGATGAAGTGGGTAAATCCATCTTATTGTGTGTGAATCCATTTGGATAGATCTGTACCTGTTCTTTGTAAATGATTTTTGAACAGTCCTCCTCTAACTGCCTTTTCAATACTGTTTCTTGAGCTAATTGGCTCCTAATCCTTGTTTTAAGACGAGCTATTTGACAAGATCCCATCTATAGGTGTGATACTAACCCATCTATAGGTGTGATACTAATATTATCTAGAGTTTCCAGTCATAGAGAAGTTTATAGGTGTGTTAAGCGGAATAGGATTCCAAGGTTTTCAGACCTTGCAATCAGAAGGGAACTTACTGTAACAAAAACATTGGGACTGGGAATTTCAGGTAACTTGGATAGGCACATAAGTTTAGCTCTTGCACACACAGGCATCTCCCTGCATAGGGCTACTAAATTTGTAGTCAAATATTTCTTTTTTAGAATCACATTTTAGCAGCAGTTATAATAACCTCAATTTATTCTGTTTCAATAGCTCATGAGGAACAGTAACTCATGGGGAACACCTTTTTAGGCTTGAAAGTTGAAAAACAATATATTTTTCCTAATTTATAAATGCTGTGCAGTGTTCTGAGCATTTTTCATAATTGCTGAATGCTCTTCTCAATCAAATATGTTCAATAGTGCCCATGCGCTAATGGAAACCAAAGATAGGCAGAGTTATTCTACCCTATAATTATCTTAGGAAGCATATCCATTATTAATTGTATTTTTCTTAATGTCTTCCAAACATACTCTTATGAAGTGTACAAATCAATCAGTTATTCAAGGATCTTGGTCTTGTTTATTCATAACTTGCATTTCTAAATGAAGATGGCAGGTTTGCCCTTGTTCTGGTACAGTAGGAGCTCCCATATACTGGAGCACTTTTCTAGTGGTAGAAAATCATAATTATTTTCAGATATTATGAATAGGAAAAGAGGAATTAGGATTGCATTGTAGTTTAGATGGATTACTAATTACATTTAATATAGTTATTCATTTTAATATTTTCTCATACTATTTCTGCTGCAGCCATTACATGTGAAAATTGATATATAGAAGGGGAACACTGTGCTTGTGCTTATTAATTCTAATACCTGCACTGATCAGAATTCTAACCAAAAATAAGGCCTAGGGAAAGATTTATATCAGCCAAATTTCTAGTAGGTAAAAATTCAGACTTAACAAAACTTGGTGCCTTTCCCCCTTGCATCCAACCACAGCATGAATGTGTCTTGACAATTTCTTTTTGTGATATGTCCTTATGATGATTCCTTTACCTTATCCCCATCCCATTAATGCAATAGGTTTAAGTAAACTGTACCAACGTCAATGTAGCCTTTTCCTTCTTAAACTAGCAATAATCTGTGGCAGTGTAAACCCTTGTAAATAAAACTAATTCGCTTTTACTTTACTGTTTTTACTTTTCCTCTGGAACAAGGGTAGACAAAGAGCTGGATGATAGTTGGTTCCAATGCGCAAGTTTTTCTCTTTTATTTGCACATGTTTTCACTGGGTCTTCAGTGTAGCAACCACGAGCACCAATGTGCACCTAGAGAAAATCTTCTGATGCCCATAAGGCCTTCTTTCTCTCTGTGTGTCTTTTTAAAAAAGGTATTAAAATATTACTTTAATATTAAGCAAAGTTACAAAAGAAACCTCTATGTTGCCTTTGGAATCATTCTAACTTCTCAGAA